CGTTTGGACCCGTGGCACAATCGCGTCGACGACGAGGCGCCGTCCGTCGCCGTTGAGCTGCGTGCAGAGGCGCTCGGCGTCCGCGTCGGCGAGCGCTTCGCCGTCGACGTCGTCGGGAAAGAGGTCCGGACCGACCGCGGCGACGCGCGCCGAGTCCACAACGCCGCCGGCGAGGCCGAGCCGCAGCGACAGCGGCACGCCGCGCGGCACGACGGCGGTGCCGAACTTCACCGTGCACGCGACGCCGTCGCCGGTCGCAAGCCAATCCTGGCCGTCGTAGCGCTCGAAGGCGAACACGTCCGGCAGCGCCGCGTCGACGGCGGCCGGCGCGACGCGATAGGCCCGGCCGAGCCAGCCCAGGGCGACCAGCTCCGACTGGCGGCGTCCGATGTCGACGCGGGCCCACTGCTGGAGCTGCGTCGGCTCGACGTCGACGAGGCCCTGGAAGAGGCCCAAAGCTCTAACGCGCTGCTGCAAGAGCGCGAGGACGAGCCACGCAGCGGCGCGCGGCATGCTCGACGCGACGCGCGAGGTGTCGCGGCGCGTAGGCAGCTCAGGCGGCCGCCGATGCCTCGTGCGAAAGTTCAGCGTGTAGGCAGCTCAGGCGGCTGCCGATGGCCTCGCACGGCTGGCGCAGCAACGCTCCCATGCCTCGAGCTTGATTACCACATTCTAACATAGGGCGATGTTGCCGACGTGTAGATTTGTTACCGCCGAGGGCTGCCCATGGTGATGTTCCTGAGCGCTTTCTTGCGCCGAGGTGATCACCGAGGCCCGCAGCGTCCAATGGGCTAACCAAACCGTCCGATGGAGGAGACGCCGCTCGAGGCGTTCGGCGACGCGCCGCCGGCGCCGCCGTGCGACGGCACGGTCGTCGTCGACGCCGACGCCGCCGACGACGACGCGAACGCGCGCGTCGCCGCGCTGTCCAGCGCGAAAGCGCAGCACTCGCCGACGATGGCGTCCCTCAAGCGGCTCGAGGGCGACGCGCGGCACCTGGCCGGCGACGTCTGCGAGATCGCCGAGGACCTGGCCGACGACGCGGCGCGCGGGCTCGAGGCCGCGGCGACCGGGGCCGTCGACGACCTGCTCTACGGCGCGCACCTGCTGGGTCGGCGCGCGCGCTGGGCGTCGGCCTTCTTCACGCTGGCGGCGCTCGGCGGCCTGTCGCTCCTCGGGACGCACGGCGTCTGGTACCTGGCCTGGTACGTCCCGCCGTCGCTGCCGCCGCTCTCGTGGAAGCTCGGCATGGGCCTGCGCTGGCTCGCGGCGCCCGTCGGTCTGGGGCCCGCGGCCTACGAGGAGCTCGCGCGCGCGCGCCTCGCGCCCCGGGATCCGCTCGCGGCGCTCGGCCGCGTCCTCGCGGCGCGGCGCGCGGCGTACGCGGCGGCGGACGACGGCGCTCCCGCGGACGGCGCCGCGGCGCCGTCCTTCTCGCTCCTCGCGGTCTTCGGCGTGAAGCGCTTCGCGCGGCGCGCCAAGGCGTCGAAGCGGCGCCTCGACGAGAAGAAGCCCGCGCTGTCCCTGCCGTCGTTCTTCCGCGTGAAACGGTTCGCGCGGGAGCCAGGGCAGGAAACAAAAATATTCAACCCGACTTCAATGTGAGCGTATTTGACAGTTTCGACGCCAGGTCTTCTCGTGCTTCGAGAACTTGGTGAGAGCGATCGATTCGTCCAAAAATCAGCCGAATCGACTTCGATTTGGCCGAGCTAGAGACTTCTCAAGTTTGGCATAACCCAGCTCACTGATTGATTTCCACGCAGGCGCGAGCTCGTCGCGCGCGCGCGCGCGCGGAACCTCGCGGAGGTGCGGCGCACGGAGGAGCGCCTCAAGGACGTGCGCTTCGAAACCGGCGACGGCTGCTGCGGCGACCGGCGGCAGATCGAGCTCGTCGGCCGGCGCGCGGCGGCGGCCGTCGCGGGCGCCGCGGTCTTCCTCTTGGTCGCCGCGGGCCTCGGCGAGGCGACGATCTGGCTCGGGCCGTCGCTCGAGGCCTGGGGCTGCGACGACACGTTGTCGCCCGCCGCGGCGGACCTCCTGCGGGACGCGGGGAACGCGGCGACGGACGGTTTGCGCGCGGCGCGGCTCCGGGCGCTCCGCCGGGAGCTCGCGGGCGGCGACGCGTGCGCGCGGCGCCAGCTCGAGCGCCTCCTGCCGACGGCCCTCGACTGGGCCCAGCGCCGCGGGTCCCGGGGCAAGGTGCCCATGCCGCTGACGTTCACGGAGGGCGAGAACGGCTACCTCGCGGGCTGGTGGACGACAAGAGTGGTCGCTTATCTCCCGACGTTCCCGCCGCCCCAGCTCGAGGGCAGCGCGCTCTACCCGCTCTGGTGCCTCTACCGGGGCCGCATGCTCGCCCAGAACCACGTCGAGTACGCCCTGCCCCTCGGCGAGGCGCGGCGGCTGCTGAGAGTCGCGCGCGAAGCGTACCCAAGAGCGCCCGTCCTCGACCTCTACGCGGGCCGCTGCCGGCCCTGGCCCCTCGCGGGCGCGAACGCGAGCCTGCCGGACTCCTACGCGGCGCCGTGCCCCCGGCTCGGTCGCGCGGCGGGCGACGGCGCGCGCGACGTCGCGTGGGCGCCCGACTGGGCCGCGGACACGCGCTTCGCGCTCGAGCACCTGGAGGACGTCATGCTCTACTGGTTCGAGGACCGCCAGGACCCCGACGGGTCCTTCGGCGGCGGCTGGGGCGACGACGTCGAGGCCTGGCGCAAGTTCAAGGCCTTGCTCCTCGGCTTCGACTTTTACCGCTACAAGGCCGGCTGGGAGCGCGTCTCGCGGAGCGTCCACGGCAAGTCGTCCATGCGCCGGGGCTACAGCGACCACATGTCCGACGTCGAGCACTCCGCGGAGCCGTCCGCGGACACGGTCTGGCCCATGCAGCTCATCAACTGGGGCGCCTCTTACGACGACGACTCCGCGAACGCGTGGCGGACCATCGCGGCCAGGATCGGCGCGCTCCAGGACGCCCACTGGCTCGTCGAGCGCGAAACGAAGAGCGGCGCCAAGACGCACGTCGTCCGGTCGTCGTGGATCGCGTCGGGCCACGGCTACGCGCT